TACTACCCTGTGTACTCTAGTTTAGGTGTTTCACCCTTGTGTAGCTTAGCTTCCCCTGCTGCGACAGGCGTAGGACTGCCTAGGTTGCCTAGTCTAGTCGCTGCACCGGCTCCGTCCCCGGCCTCCGCCACTGCGTCGCTGTCCTTCACTCTCGACTCTGGTGCTTCTGCCTGCTTCTTCCGCGACCGTTCCACGCTCACGCCGCTTGCTGCACCTGCTGTTGTCTCTCTCGCTGACCCCTCTGCGGGTCCGGTCGTCGCGCGCAGTTCTACGTCCCTTCCTTGTCCGGCAGTTCCCTCGGGCTCCCTTACAGGCCTCCACGTTCCCTCGTTCTCCAGGAACCTGGTTGGTGTCGGCTGTCTCCAGGACCTCGGCGTCACCACCACGTTCCCCGGGCACGAGCGGTTCGCTGTCTGTTCTGAGGCTATCTCAGGTTCCCCCCTTGCGACGTTCCCCCGGGACCCGGTGTCCGGTCTGTTTACCCTACACACCGCTTCCCCCCCGGTTGGTGCGTCCTCCCAGGTCGCTGCAGCTTGCTCGTGTCGGTCCCTCACTCACCCCTCCCTTCTCTGGCACCACCGCTTAGGTCACCCTGCTCTCCCGCGTCTGCCTCACATGTCCCAGCACGGTCTTGTCTTAGGTCTCCCCGCGTCGCTCCCTGCCCTTCCTCCCTCGACTGCGCCACCGTGCACGCCTTGCGTCGAGGGTCGGCTCCGCCGTGCTCCTCACTCCTCCTCGCTGCGTCCTGCTACTGCCCCCCTTCAGACCCTGCACTTGGACGTTTGGGGCCCTGCCCCGTCCCCGGACCGCGCGGTGAGCGCTACTTCCTTGTGCTCGTCGACGACTACACGCGCTACACCACGGTGTTTCCCCTGGAGCGGAAGGCCGACGTGCCCGACGTTCTTCTCCCGTGGGTTGTGGCTGCGCGTCTCCACCGCGGTCTCCCCGTGTTGTGTCTCCACTCCGACCGTGGCGGCGAGTTCGCCTCTGGTCGGCTTGGACAGTTCTGTCGTGCGGAGGGCATCACCCAGTCGTACACGTTGCCGGACTCGCCACAGCAGAATGGGGTTGCTGAGCGCCGCATCGGCTTGGTCATGGAGGTCGCCCGTACCTCCATGATCCATGCCGATGCCCCCCATTTTCTGTGGCCGTTCGCTGTTCGCTACGCGGCTAACCAGCTTAACCTGTGGCCACGCTCCCAGCGGCGGCAGGTTTCGCCGACCCTCCTTTGGACCGGGTCCCCCGGTGACGCGTCTGCGTTCCACGTCTGGGGCTGCCTTGCTCACGTTCGTGCCTCTGGCACGGACAAGCTCACTGCCCGCACTGTCCCCTGTGTCTTCCTCGGTTTCCCCCTGGACTCGTCTGACTGGCTTTTCTACCACCCGCCGTCTCACCGCTTCCTCCACTCTCGTGACGTCACCTTTGACGAGTCCGTCTCCTTCTACCGCCGCTTCCCTCACCGAGGTCTCCCAGTTGCCCCCCACCTTTTCCTTGCTCCCCCTTCCCCGGTGCCTCCGCCCCCACTGTCGCAGTCGCCGACCCCGCTGCCGCCGCCGTCGCCGTCGCCGCCGCAGCCGTCGCCGCTGTCGTCGCCGCCGCCGCCGCTGTCGCTGCCGCAGCCGTTGCCGCTGTCGCCGCCGCCGCAGCCGTTGCCGCCACTGCCGCCGCTGCTCTCGGCCCCTGGGGGTGCTGGTGTGGAGGAGGGTGTTCGTCCTGCGGCTTCTGGGGGTGCCGCTGGTGTTGGAGGGGGTTCTCGCTCTGGGGGTGTTGGTTCTGGGGGTGCTGCTGTTGAGTGTTCTGCCGACGGTCGTTCTGCCTCTGCTGGTCCGAGAGTTCCGGCCCAGCCGTCGTCGCCGCCGCAGCAGCCGTCGCCGCCGGTTTCCGCTCTCCGCCTGCTCGGCCTTCCCTCCCCGGACCGCGCGCCGGTGTCTCCCCCACCGCCTCCTGACCTTCCTGTCTACGGTCCTGTGTTCCCGCCGCCAGACTCGTCTCCGGCCCGTCTTCCTCCTCGTTCCCCTCCTGTGTCTCCTCCGCTGTCCCCTGACCCTACCCCTCCGTCTCACGTTTGGGCTCGCCGTCCCTCCCGTGCTCGTCCCGTCTCTCCTGTCCTGCCCACCCACCCTATGTTGCTCCGTTCCCACTCGTCTCGTCCTCCCCTCCTCCCGTCCCCTCCTCCCTCGTCCCTTGCTGTTGCACCTCCTCCGTTCTCTGACTACCTCCGTGCTGCTCGTCCCCTTGTCCCTCGGGTCCTTGCCTCTCTTGTTACCGACCCTGCTGTTCCTGTCTCGCGCCTTGACGCGCTTGTCGCTGTTGTCGCTGACTTCGCCTCTACCCGCCGCCTTGACTACGCTACCGCTCTGGTCTCTGACCCTGCCCGTCCTCTGTCCGTCGGGGGTGCTCCTGCCCTTGGCAGTGACGTCCTAGAGGACAGGCAGTACGAGCTGGCTTTCCTTTCCGAGGCTGCTCCCCATCTCTGCTCCATGCTGTTAGTCCCTGAGGGTGACCCAGACGCCTTCGACATCCCGACCCCTCGCACCTACGCTGAGGCCACCTCGGGACCTTGGGCCTCTCAGTGGATAGCTGCCATGGAGCAGGAGATGGCATCTTGGAGATCCACCGGCACTTACGTCGACGCAGTTCCCCCACCTGGGGTGAACGTAGTCGATGGTCGGTGGCTCTTCAAGGTGAAGCGCCCCCCTGGAGAGCCGCCTGTCTTCAAGGCGCGCTACGTGGCCAGAGGTTTCAGTCAGCGCGAGGGGGTTGACTTCTTCCAGACCTTCGCCCCGACCCCGAAGATGACCACTCTTCGGGCGCTGCTACACGTAGCAGCACAGCGTGACTACGAGCTTCACTCCCTCGACTTCTCTACTGCCTTTCTTCAGGGCAACCTACACGAGCAGGTCTACCTGCGCCGACCACAGGGCTTCACTGGTACCTTCCCTCCTGGGACCCAGTGGCTTCTCAGGCGCCCGGTCTACGGCCTGCGTCAGGCTCCCCGTGAGTGGCACGACACGCTACGTGCCACGTTAGCAGACCTGCAGTTCTTTCCGTCCTCTGCTGACCCTTCACTGTTTGTGCGTTCCGGCCAGACTCCGTTCTACATCCTTGTCTACGTAGACGACCTGGTCTTCGCTACTCCTGACAGGGACGCACTGGCCTCTGTGAAGGCTGAGCTGCTGAAGAGACACACCTGCACTGACCTTGGAGAGCTGCGTCGCTATCTTGGCCTGCAGATCTCTAGGGACAGAGCAGCACGCACCATCACTCTGACCCAGTCACACTTGGTGCGTCAGGTCCTTCAGAGGTTCGGTCTTCAGTTCTCCTCTGCACAGCCCACACCTCTACCCGTAGACCATGGGCTCTCTGCTCCCGTTCCTGAGGAGCCAGTAGAGCCCAGTGGCCCCTACGCAGAGCTGGTGGGTTGCCTCATGTACCTGATGACTTGCACTCGCCCAGATCTCGCATACCCTCTCAGCATCCTGGCTCGCTTTGTGGCTACAGGCAGACACCGACCTCAGCACTGGTCTGCCGCTAAGAGGGTTTTGCGTTATCTTGCTAGTACATCAGGCATGGGGTTAGTGCTAGGAGGACGCAGGCCAGTGGTCCTTACTGGGCACACAGACGCTTCTTGGGCAGACGACGCTGAGACGCTCAGGTCGTCGCAGGGCTACTGCTTCAGCCTTGGTTCGGGTGCTATCTCTTGGAGATCCACTCGCTCGTCGTCTGTGGCTCAGTCTAGCTGTGAGGCTGAGATCTACGCTGGTGCCATGGCGGCACAGGAGCTCCGCTGGCTGACCTTCTTGCTCACAGACTTAGGTGAGCAGCCTAGCTCTGCCCCGGTCCTGTACGCTGACAACAGGGCCATGATACTCCTGTGTCAGGAGCCTCGGCTTGAGGGCAGAGCGAAGCATATCCAGCTGCGGTACTTCCTCCTGCGCGAGCTACAGCAGCGCCGCCAGGCCCGCGTAGTTCACTTGGCCTCAGGTGCCAACACAGCTGATATCTTTACTAAGGCGCTTGCGCCTAAAGATCATCAGCGGCACTGTGTACAGCTTGGTCTTGTTCCTGTAGCTGCTCCCCTGTTAGGATCCTGATTGTGTACTCTCTATTATATATGCTTGTCAGACTGGCCTTGTGGCCTTACCTCCAGTGGCTGGACTAGTAGTGCCACCCTGGCTTGCTTCAGTTTTGGTTGTATTCTTGCTGACTGGTCTCCAGACCCCTGCCTCAGTGGTTGGACTAGTAGTGCCGCCCTGAGCTGTTTACTTCTTGTTTAGTTTCACCCCTTGTCTAGCCTAGGGGGTGTGTCAACTTATACATATTATCTATGTAGAAGTTATAGGCTAGACTGAGGTATGCTTCTAGTGAGTACAACCAACTAGTATTTGTTCTAGGTTTCCACCTCTAGTAATCATTTGTTTCTACGTTAACAAATACAACCTCGAAAAATAATTTAACAGCAAGTGACGAGCGAGCTGGCTAAAATAGGGCACGGACGTGCTAGGACGAGCTACGGCGAGAACCTCGGGACGTGAGATGGATTGGATGGGGGCGAGGGTGTCGGAACGCGAGTCGGGGAGGTTTGGACCGACAATATAGACCGAACCTGCGAGTTCGAGGTCTTCGGGTATACACGCGGTAGTTTCGCGCTGTAAGGAATTGTAATTCCTTACAAGTCATAACGATTGTTACAAATTGCCACGTCCTACAAAAGCGACGAGTTGGTCCAACACGCGTTTCCACTTCAAGCTAAAATGCGTTGCGGACACGCCCCCCTTATTCACTTTCGCCGATAGCCTTGCATTCTTTGCCTCAATAGTGCAATATTTCTCAACTTGTTTCATGCACATGTGTAACCCCTAGCGCGGAATCGCTAGGCCTACTAAGGGCAGGCTACATTAGGCTCGAGCTGGGGCAGAAAACCGAGCCGGCGACTCAATGTTGGGCGTATAGGCGAATGAAAATGCTGAATTTCGGCATTTCCGCGCAACATGGAGCTCCGGGCTAATTTTTCCGCCCTAGGTCGAGCCTAATGTAGCCCGACCTAAGTAAACCACCTCTAGGGTTTTTCTCGCATACCCTGTCCACCCCCTCTCTCTGACTCACTCTCTCTCACTCACTCTCCTATTCCGCCACGCAGCGCGCTTCTAGCTAGAAACCGAGAGTTTCTGAGCTTGGAACCTCTCGTCACGCATTACTCTCGTCACCACCGCGCAGCTCTTTCCCTCTTTTCTCCTAACTGAAACTCGCTAAGTTCGGACGGTTGTCGTAATTCATCTTCCTCCACTCGTCGACCCAGATAGCACCCGACCAAGCCGTGGCCGTGGGCCGTCCCTTTCCCAGCGCCCTCGAGCGGCTCTCGTGCTCGCCGCCCCGTGCAGCGGAGCGCGCTCCCTCTCGTCCTCTCCGAGCCCCTTCGTTCTGCCCGGCATCCCATCCATTTCGCCCCCCCTCCCCCTCATCCGCCTTTTCCCTCTTCTCCCTCCTCCGCTTTCGCCCATCTTCCCCGTCCCCTCTCTCTTCTTCCCCGTCCCCTCTCTCTTCTTCCCCGTCCCCTCTCTCTTCTTCCCCGTCCCCTCTCTCTTCTTCCCCGTCTCCCCTCCCTCCGTCGTAACCCCCCAGTCTCCCCCCTCCTTCCGCCCTCACTCCCCCCTCCAGTTTCCTGTCCATCCTCCTCCATATTTCCCCTCTCGTCTCGCTTTCCCGCGTCTCCCTCGCTCCGTTTCCCCCCGGTCCTCTCCACTTTCCCGTTGTTTCCCCCCTCCTCTTGTTATCCCCTTTCCAAATGGCGGGTGGCTCTGTCGCAGAGCGTCCTACGTGCGATGGCGGCGAGGGCGAACGACGCCAGCGAATCAAAACAGTCGCAGCGTGTGAGCTGCGACGGCCTTTAGTGGGCGAAGCGGCGGAGTGCGACGAGAGCGTCGTGGCGGGGCGGCGGTGGGCGGAGCAGCGTGCGGCGAAGGACACAACGCAGGGGGGGGCTGGGGAGTTGGGCGTTGAAGGAGTGGGCGCGAACGGTGGCGGGGATCGGGCGGGGGAGAGTGACGTGGATCGGGCGGGGGAGAGTGACGTGGATCGGGCGGGGGAGAGTGGCGGGGTGGGGCGGCTTGAAGGGGAGAGAGGGTTGCGAGAGGCGTCGATGGGTGCCGCGGTGGGGGGGGAAGAGAAGCGGACGCAGGGGGAAACGGGGCAGGGGGAAGGGGAGGGCGAGAAGGCGGAGGTTGCGGGTGGCAGTGGCGGAGGGGAGGGGAAAGACGATCATTCGCGGCGAGTGAAGGCCGCTTTTATATACGGCAATTACAAGCATTATTACGGATACAGGGTATGGCTGCAGAGAATGGTTGTCAGTTTAGGCACTTGGCTAGGGCTGGAGGGGTGAATGTAGGGCCGTGGGCCGTGGCGTGACAACCGTGGATGGTAGAGAATAAAGGGCTGAAGCCTAAAACCTAAAATCGGAAGCCTTGACCCCTGACTAAACCCTAACCCCGAACCCGAAAGCTCAAACCCGTAAAGTACCCTAAACCGCTGAACCGAAGGCTGTAAACTGTGAAGCTAGGTGGTTTGTGGCGCTAATGCTGTGTGGCGGTGGCGTGGATGGTGGAGGAGTGGGAAGGAAGGAAGGAAGACATGGCTGGGAGGGGGGCAAGGGGATGGGGTGCCGATTAGGAGGGGGTAAGAGAACCCGAGGCGAGGAGGGGGTAAGAGAACCCGAGGCGAGGAGGGGGTAAGAGAACCCGAGGCGAGGAGGGGGTAAGAGAACCCGAGGCGAGGAGGGGGTAAGAGAACCCGAGGCGAGGAGGGGGTAAGAGAACCCGAGGCGAGGAGGGGGTAAGAGAACCCGAGGCGAGGAGGGGGTAAGAGAACCCGAGGCGAGGAGGGGGTAAGAGAACCCGAGGCGAGGAGGGGGTAAGAGAACCCGAGGCGAGGAGGGGGTAAGAGAACCCGAGGCGAGGAGGTGTGGCGCAGAAGGCCACGGCCTGAGAGTGTGCGCGCGCCTGTGCTCGCTCACTTCTCTCATGCTCCCTCTTCGCCCTGCCTCCGGGCCTATCACCTATCATCCAGCCTCTCGCCTATCATCATATCACCTTATCCTCCAAACGATCACCTTTCCATTCCGCCCAGCTGGCGTGGTCATCCATGGAGTGTCATGTCAGCGCTCCACTCGCCCTCTCACATCCCTCAAATCTCTCGCAATGCCTCCAGTTTCTTCCCGTGCCCACTGCCACTGCTCCTGCTGCCAGCCCTGCCGCCCTCTTCCTTTGGAATTGCGCCTCCTGTCAATTGCCTACTCCTACTCCCCCCCCTCCCCCCCTCCCCCCCTCCACCTCCTCCCACGCCATCCCAAGTGGGAGAAGCGTTGTTGGAGGAACCCCGGGTGGGCGGTTCAGGAGAGAGCGCTATGACTGCGACTCCTTCCCCCTTTCCCCGCCCCCGCACCACCACCATCCCAGGTGGGAGCGGCGTTTTCAGAGGACCCGCGGGTGCGGTGGTTTCGGCGGGAGTGGTTTGAGGGGCGGGACTGCGTGGACGTGGGGTGCAACTCGGGGTTCATCTCCATCGGCCTCGGTGAGCGCGACACTGCGTCGTGTGCCCTCTCCCACCCCGTCTGCCTACCTGTGATCTGATCTGTGGCCCAATCGCTGGGTCGCATGCGCCCGACATACACTTTCTCCCACGTCCTCCCCACCCCTGCTTCCCTCCAATTCCCCTCCCTCCCCCCCACTCCCTGTCTCCCTCAGCCAGCGCCCTCTCCCCTCCCTCCCCTTTTCCTGTCCTCTCAATCCTGATATCTGTGCTCTCAGTGTTTCCTCCCTCCCCCCGTTCCTCCCCTGTGCGGCGTGTGAAGCTCAGTGAGGCATTTCAGCGTGAAGTCAATGCTTGGCATCGACATCGACAAAGGTCCGTGCACTGCTGCTCGTTGTGCTGTGCGTGTCTCTGCTGTCTTCACCTCACGGTGTAGTTTTGCAGGCCGCAGGCGTTTGGCTATGCCTTGCAACCAGTTTGCGTACTTCCTCACCATGTGGCCGTCGCCCTTCTCCCCGTGGCAGATCTGATCAAGGAGGCGAGGAGGCAGTGGGGCAGCGTTGTGAGGGAGGAGAAAGAGAAGGAGCGGGGGGAGGGGGGGAAGGAGGGAGGACAAGAGGTTAAGGGGAACAGGGGCGAGAAAAGGGAGAGGCAAACGGATGGGGTTGTGGGGTGGAATGAGGTGGGTGGTGCTGGCGGGGCTTCTAGTGGCCTGGGCGCGGCTCCGCAAGGCAGTGGAGGGATGGCAGCCGCTGCGGGCAGAGCTGTGGAGGAGGCAGCAGCGGCAGCGGCGCAGGCAGTGGGGGCGGCACGGGGAGCGGGTGGGCGGCCGCGAGTGGTGTTCAGGTGCCTCAACGTGGTGGAGGCGGACATGCCGCGTGACAGTGCTGACACTGTGCTCTGGTGAGCTGACACTGTGCTCTGGAGAGCTGACACCATGCTCTGGTGAGCTGACACCGTTCCCTGGTGAGCTGACACTGTGCTCTGGAGAGCTGACACCATGCTTTGGTGAGCTGACACCATGCTCTGGTGAGCTGACACCGTGCTCTGGTGAGCTGATACCGTGCTCTGGTGAGCTGACACCGTGCTCTGGTGAGCTGACACCGTGCTCTGGTGAGCTGACACCGTGCTCTGGTGAGCTGACACCGTGCTCTGGTGAGCTGACACCGTGCTCTGGTGAGCTGACACCGTGCTCTGGTGAGCTGACACCGTGCTCTGGTGAGCTGACACCGTGCTCTGGTGAGCTGACACCGTGCTCTGGTGAGCTGACACCGTGCTCTGGTGAGCTGACACCGTGCTCTGGTGAGCTGACACCGTGCTCTGGTGAGCTGACACTGTGCTCTGGTGAGGTGGCACCTCGGCTCATGCGTGCTCTGGTGCGCTGTCACCTCGCCTCATGCCTGCTCCTGCCATGCGTGCATGTGCCATGCGTGCATGGGCTGTGCGTGCATGCGATGCTGGGTCCTTGCATGACATGACAGTGGGTATGGGTTCATTCTCGGTGGTGTGAGAGGGACAATAGCTGTGCTCACATTCTCATGCGAGATGCCACTCTCCCCTTCGCCCCTCTCTCCTGTCTGCCCTCTTTCCCCTCTGCCCCTCTTTCCCCTCTGCCCTCTGCTGCTCTCCTCTCTTCCCGGTCCTCCCCTGTCCGATTTCTTCACCCCACTGCGTGCCAGTCTGAGTGTGACCAAGTGGGTGCATCTCAACTGGGGCGATGCGGGCCTCATCGCGCTCTTCGCCAATCTCTTCCACATGCTCCGCCCCGTGCGTCCCTCTCCCTGCCTCACACCCCTGCGCCTCACCACCGCCTCTCAGTCCCATTCGTCCCTCTCGCTGCTACACTTGTCCCCCTCTCCCTGCCCCACACGTCCCCCTCTCCCTGCCGTCACCTGTCCGCACACATTGTGTCTCACTCATCCCTTCCCCCCCTCACAACCATGCGTCGCTTTCCCCGCCTCGGTGCTGTGTCTTTGTGCGGAGGACACCAAGTCTTGCACACCCAGCGATGCTGAAAGGCTCTTTCTGGCTTTGTGCTGCCTGCCTCGCTCTGTGGGTGTGACACCACGTACTGTGCAGCAGCGAGTGCTCTTCGTGTGATTACGCCATTTGCCGCACATTCTCTCTGCTCGCTTCCTGTACCCCTCTCTCTCTCACTTACTCTGGCTATCCTCCCTTCCTCCCCCAACCCCCCTGTTGTCCTTTTTCTGTGCGCACCCGCTCCCTGCCCTACAACGGCGCGGCCGTCTCTCGGCCATCCTCAGGGGGGGGTTCTCATTCTGGAGCCGCAGCCGTGGAGCTCGTACAAGAAGAAGCACGGACTCACTAAGGTGCATGGCATGCTCCACTCACATGCATGGCATGCTCCACTCACATGCATGGCATGCTCCACTCACTTGCATGGCATGCTCCACTCACATGCATGGCATGCTCCACTCACATGCATGGCATGCTCCACTGAGATGCCTGGCATGGCATGTCTAAGGCGCATGTCATGGCACGGTATGACGACGGTGCGTGGCAGCATAGACCTGAAGAACCGAATACGAATTCGAGTTCGAGTTCCACATTCGAATAATTGTCGAATATCACGATACAAATTTTTTGTTCGAGTTGTGTTTGGAATTCGAATACGAATTCGAGTCGAATAGAGTCGAGTCCGAGTCGAATACGAATGCACTCGAGTTTTGGGCATATGAGCGTTTCAAGCTTTGTGAAGTTACCCTTGGAGTTTGTTGTCGGTTTTTTGGGCGTTGCCGTGCTTGCAGGTTTGCACAAGAAATTGGAGGGGTTGTACAAGTGGCAAGTGAAGCTTTTTAGCAGCATCGCGTAGCATCGAAACCATTAGGACCTTTGATGCTAGGCAATTAAATGCTAGTAGGAGCCAGGTATGTCCAAACTCGAGTACTAAAACGAGTACTCGAGTTCTGGCTGGGCGAATACGAATTCGAGTCGAATATTGGAAGTCGAGTTTTGGCGAGTTTGAACAGCCACATAGACTCGATTTGTATTTGAAATTCGTCCGAATTCGAATACAAATTCGAATATAGTCTACTCGTTTTCAGGTCTATGGCAGCATGTGGTTCTCACATGCACGGGACACCTGGTCTCCTTCCCAGCGCGACGTGTCGCCATGCACACATGCTGGCGATTGCGTTACGTACCCGCTTTCACTCCTTTTTTTTGCTTAAAAATCTCGTGCCCCCCACTGCTTGTTCCCCCCACTGCTGGTGTCGTTATGCCTGCACTCCCTCAACATCCACTCTCTCACGCGCCCATGGCCCTGTGGCCCCCACCAGGAGAGCAGGGAGCACTACAGCAGCATCAAGATCTTCCCTGCTCACTTCCGACAGCTGCTGCTCGACAAGGTGGGTGCAGCCAGACAAGGTGGGTGCAGCCAGACAAGGTGTGTGCTGCCAGACAAGGCGGGTGCTGCCAGACAAGGTGGGTGCTGCCAGACAAGGTGGGTGCTGCCAGACAAGGTGGGTGCAGCCAGACAAGGTAGGTGCTGCCAGACAAGGTGGGTGCTGCCAGACAAGGTGGGTGCTGCCAGACAAGGTGGGTGCTGCCAGACAAGGTGGGTGCTGCCAGACAAGGTGGGTGCTGCCAGACAAGGTCGGTGCTGCCAGACAAGGTCGGTGCTGCCAGACAAGGTGGGTGCTGCCAGACAAGGTGGGTGCTGCCAGACAAGGTGGGTGCAGCCAGACAAGGTGGGTGCTGCCAGACAAGGTGGGTGCTGCCAGACAAGGTGGGTGCTGCCAGACAAGGTGGGTGCTGCCAGACAAGGACAAGGTGAGTGTGTGCGTGCGTGCTCTCACACCCAGTGCACGTGTGGAGGTGCCTGCTGCCTGCACCTGGGCTATTCGCTGTCTTGTAGCTTGCTGTAAGGCGCTTATCCGTGTAGCTTGTTGAGTTTTACTCTTTGCTGCCAATTTCTCACTGTATCACGCTCCTTGCACTGCCACCCGCTCTCAGTCGGAGCCTTAGTTGCTACAAACGCTCTGGGAGACAAGCGTTTGGCGTTCAAACGCACCCAAAAACGCAAACGCTCTCTGGGATTTTTTTCGGGCTGCCCCCCCAAAAAAAACACGAGATTGTCGTTGGAGAATAGCCTTAAGGATAGGTGATTTACATGACATATGAGGATGCTGGCTTAAATGTTAAGCACGGTTCTTTTTTATGAGACAAAATGCTTGCTGGTAGAACCCCATGTTTCCCCCCTCCCCCACAGGAATCTTGAACCCCTGCCCGGGTAAAAATTTTACCCCTGCCCGGGCAAGCGTTTGCCTAGCGTTCACATACACGCTGCTGAGCATTTAGCGTTCAAACGCCAAACGCGTTTGTAGCAACTAAGGTCGGAGCAAGGGGTTTCAGCAGTGGCTGCATTCACTCAGCCTCTTCTTGCACTCTCCCCATCGCGCTTGCTGTCTGTCGTTCCGTCCTCCCCCCCCTGCTGCATGGTGTGCAGATCGGCTTCCAGCGGGTGGAGGAGCTCACTGCTGCTGTTCCCACTGCGCGCGGCTTTGACCGGCCCTTGTTTGTTTACTACAAGTAGGGCACTCAAGCACTGCACCACGCACTTTAGCGAGAGGCCAAATAGTGGAGGCGGGCCCCAACTCGAATGGGTGTTGTTTCCAGCGTGCCTGCAAGTACTCTTGTCATTACAACAATGAACAAAAGAATGTACGGTAGCGACGAGCACCAGCTGTCTGCTATGCGCCCTTGCTCTCTCAACGGGCAACGACTCTGACCCGAATGCGTGTGACCAGTGAGTATGGACGAGAGGCGCTCAAAGAGGGTCCTGCGGCACAATGTAACAAATGAAAGGTTGCTTTGCAAGTCATTTCCTCTTAAATCCGAAAAGAAAGCGTGGGTGACTGACGGAATAAGGTGCGGGAAAACTATGGGCGAAAAGGAAGGATCAAAGGAAAGGAAGGCAAGAGAGAAGGGGCAGGAGGAGACGGTAATCCTCAGCATATGAGTGCAGGTTGCCACAACTGCTCCAAGACAGGAGGGAGAGGAGGGAGAGGAGAATATGCCTTTTTAGAATCCTAAAGAACCATGATCGCAGGGACAGGAAGAGACGCTGCTGTCCCCACCTCCCTCCCGATGCTCGCCATGTGAGGGCTTGCTGCAGCGACAGCTTCATCAACCGCGGCACCACCACCCCTCGGAAGAAGCCAGGCCAACCTTGCGACTGGGAGAGGGAAAGAGAGAGAGGGGAGTGAGCGAGTGCGCCACGATGCATCTGCCACCTGACTCTTCTGTTCATCTTGACCGCCATGCCATACCCTGCGCACGGCGACTTCTAAATCGACTCCAAAAGAGGGGAAGGGGGGGGAGGAGTAAGGAAGCGCGCACGATGCAACAGCCTGGTTCTTTCATCTTGGTCATGCCATGCCTTGCACGCACGCCAGGGCTCTGGCTAAGGTTTTGGAAGGCCTTTCTGTCAAATGTAACTTAGGTCGTTACTGTAGACTATACTGGATTGTGCCTTAGAGGGTACAACACCCTAGTTTATATACCCTCGCGCCCGCCCCTAGCCGGCCCCCTGGCCGTCGCGCTCGTCCCTACCCGGCCCCCTGGTCGTCGCGCTCGTCCCTAGCCGGCCCCCTGGCCGTCGCGCTCGTCCCTAGCCAGCCCCCTGGCTGTCCCGTCGCCCCTAGCCGGCCCCCTGGCCGTCGCGTCCGCCCCTAGCCGGCCCCCTGGCTGCCGCGCCCGTCCCTAGCCGGCCCCCTGGCCGTCGCGTCCGCCCCTAGCCGGCCCCTTGGCCGTCGCGCCCGTCCCTAGCCGGCCCCCTGGCCGTCGCGTCCGCCCCTAGCCGGCCCCTTGGCCGTCGCGCCCGTCCCTAGCCGGCCCCCTGGCCGTCGCGTTCGTCCCCAGCCGCCCCCCCTGGCCGTCGCGCCCGGTTCCTGCCGTCCCACGGCCGCCCCTAGCCGTCTCACGGCCGCCCCCTCGCCGTCGTGGCTGCCCCTAGCTGCTGTCGCTGCCATCTCCAGCCGCCTCACGGTCACTCCTGCCGTCGCGGCCGCCCCTAGCCGCCGTCGCGGCTGTCCCTGGCCGCCATCGCGGCCGTGTCTCCTCGCCGTCGTGGCCGGCCCTACTCGCCGTCGCACCAGCTCCTCGCCGGCCCCGTTGCCGCCGTTTGCTG